AATTTATTTTCTGCAAATTAGAAAGTTGATTCAGCGACTTTGAATAATTTAGTTGCAGATCTCCTTTTACTGCTTACCTTTTGCGATATTAGTTAATATTTTAATCGCTTTAAGAAATTACCTTGCATAWWGATAAATAAATATTTACTGAATTTGGGCTGTGCGCTCATTGGAGCCTTTTCAGTTTTGTAGTTAATGATGTTTGCTGTTTGCTCAATGTAAGATTGTGATATACAGGAGTTGAAGCTATTGGTGCCAAATTTGTTCCACTACACAAACCAAGAAAGTTGCCTGGTATGCAAGAAAGTTAACTGTTTAHGTTTTTCTTCAATTTCTTTTTGAAACGTAGTTATTTATGCTGATTGTTTTTCAAGAATTTTGTAATGTTTTTGATACTTAGATATTGATGTTTCGAACTGGTAACCTTTTGCTGGGTTAAGCAATTGAATTTGGTTTGTCTTGATCACTGTTCACTCTCCTAGGTTTTTTAATGCTTCTTCCTATTTTCATTAATGTTGTTCATTGTCAATCTAACTGTATCAAGTCACTGTTTGAATATTAGGCTTCCTTTGTTGTACCTTCTATCAAGTCACTGTTTAAATATCAATCTCCCTTTTTCTCTTTTTCTCTTTTTGAATATTTTATCCATTAAAAGCAAATGGAAAAAGTTACACAAAAAGTATGTTTAAATAAAACAATTTGAATAAAATTCCAGAATTTATAAGTAATATGTCAAACTTAATTTCTAAGTGTGATAATTAGGAAAAGATGTTTGACAAAACAACTTATGCAAATGTTTATATGTTAAGAATTATCATTCTCATTTATTTTTGATAAGAGTCACCATATTTACTGGGTAAAACTCATGACCCTTGTCTTCCTTTTTTTAGGTAATATTGTTGGTCTTTGTTATATTCATTTGACAAGAAATTAAACTGTAAACACTTATTAAGATAAGTACCTAATAAACGACTCCTAAACATTTCTATAAGAAAATTATTAAATTTCAAAATTTAAAATTAAATTCATAACTTATAAATTGGTTTTGATGTTTTTTGTTAGAAATAAATTAATAATAGGCCTCATGAATTAAACCTTTTTGAACCCAGTTGAGAGAATTAGTCCAATAAATCGTATTCCAATCCATTCTTTTATGATTGCCCAAAAAATTCTTCCTTCTCCTTTCATTCGTCCTATTCTTTATTTTTTTTCAAAAAAAATGAATATTTTTTAATATATGTGTTTCATATTCTATCTTCTTTAATTTAATTTGTAGAAAATGGATTCACATTCTTATGCCGAAGTATTTTCATCATTACAACATCCTCATGTCTAGTGGAATTTTTCCACTCTTCGTGTCGAATTTGTTTGGGAAGATGTGGAAGAAAAAAAACTATATCTTATCTTTCTTGACCGAAACGTAAGTGAAAATATTTATATTTTAGTTTTGTTTTCATTAAATTTCTTTTTACAATAATATACTAATAAATATAACATTATATATTTTATAAATTAGAGAGAGAAAATGGCAGCAATTGTTTCATGTGATTTACTGAATTTCTACAAACAAAGAAATTTGTTGGGAGGTGTTTTTTCTTTGGAACAATTTCAAATTGAAGGGACTTGCCATGAATACCCAAGGTATGAAAAATATAGTTTGGTTCGTGGCGAATGGATCATCATTATCAGTAAAAACACCAAGTTAATCCCGCTAACGGGTGATATTGAGAGAAGGTTTGTGTTATATCCATCG